GAACATCATGGCAACGTAGGGAGGCACTCATACGGATTGCCACCAGCAGACAATATAGCAGAGTATCATCAGGAGTGTAGCGAGTATTCAGTTTCAGGTCGGACATTATCCCGAAGTAGTAAGAGCAGGCAGGAGAAATTGGACGGATTGTAGGAATGTCGCGTGACACCATGTGGAAATCCAGAGAAAGAAGCCAGGAGCAGAGCGTCAGGAGGGAGTGACACTAGGAGCTCATCATAGGGGTTCAAAAGAAGGGTTGGCTACTATAGGACGTCATCCAGATGTTGCGGTGACCAAGGGGGACGCCAGGTATGAATCCTGAGGATGGAGAGTGAGGCAGACACAAGGCTGAAAGCACTGTGATCAGAGCGACAGTTTTGCGGTAGCAATGTAGGGACGTAATCCAGACATTGAACTGAGGAGCCAGAAGGTACCGGAGGTGAGCATGCAAGAGGAGTAGTGACTGGATGCAGGGGACGTAGTGGGGCGTTGGGCTGGAAGCCCAGACACACAGGACGGAGTGGGGCATTGCAACCAGAATCAGGATGCACAGGATGCAGGGGATACAAAAAATAAAACTCGGCATCTGGATGCGCCACCCACGCATCAGACACAGAGTTTCTTTTGCTGATGAATGGGGGAGACAACTGGATGGACAGTCATTGATTAAGACCTTCCATGCGCACTTTAACAACTCCCAGCCATGTTTGGACCGGTGTATGGATTTGCACTAGATACGGACCTACAAGTAATGGGTGGATATGTAGTTGGCAGAACAGGTGTTGCATGTGCTAGCTTGGGCGAGGAGTTACGAGTTTCTTAAGAGACCCCAGTATTTTTTTTGTAATAGTACATTTGTTGATATTGCGGGTCATTGGAGGAATACTCAGCATTGTTGGGACAGATAGTATATTTCATTTGTTGAATATATGGAAGATAAAATTGCTGATGGCGGTGTGAGTAATGGATAGGTTTGCGGGACAGGAAGATGCATTAATCCAGGATGTTGCTTGTAGTACAAGCGCCTGTGAGCCTGTTGGTAGTGATTGTTGAATTTATGTTTGGATGGAGGGTTGCAGGACGGTTTGCTGTGGTAGTAATTTTGTTATGATTTATGGGTTATGAGGAATGTTAGCTAGATCATAAGCCATGTTTTGGCGTGACTAGAATAAATAAACTTAGATTGAAGTCAGACACCTGTACCTAGGAATTACACTCTCTTCTACTTCGCGTCCTCTTGAACCTCTGAACCCTGACCCTGAACCCCTGAACCCCTGAGCCTCATACAACTCGCTTTGGTTGTACCCCCGCACTTAGTCTTCCCCTCCGAACTCTTAGGGCCTGTTTGGCAACGACCGTTCCGTTCTGTTCATCCATACCAATTGCCTTATGGTTCCGTTCGCGAATGGCCATTTTGTATGGG